GTAGTCCGCCATGGTGCCACCGCGCGCCGCTCTGCGGCGCCCCCTGGCGGTGGCCGCGGCCCGCAGCGCCGTTGCCCGCGGTAACTCCGTGCCCTCACCCTCTGTGAGGGGAACAGGCCTGAGGGGAAGTGCAGACACCCGGGCTGCCCCAAGGGAAAAATCCAGTCCCAACCCTCCCCGCACAGCTCGGTCCACGCCGAACAGGGCAATTCTGAATAATTTTTGCTTGTATGAGGGCGCGCTGAGAAGTGAGGCCGGCGTGGCTTCACTGAGGGGAATTTGCCGGCGGACAGAGGCGCCCGCTCAGCCGGACGGTAGGAATGGCCAAGAAATTGAGGTTTTGCAGCCTGGCTGTGATCAATAAATAAGGCAGCCTGCCACATGCTGTAGTTGTGCAGGCAGTTGTTCCTCCTCCCCTTGTTTTTCATATTCCGAACAGCCTGTAAAATAACATCACATTTCTGTTCACATGTATAACTGTATACTCACAGGTATTTTCAGTGTAAAGGCTCTATTTTTCAGAGTAAAGGTCATATATATGTGTACCATGGTACACTAATTATTTTTAACTAGTGGTAATGTGTTATTAGCAGGTAATGCAGAAAAAAGCAAGTGAGCAGACTTTATAGATAACTACCTCCAGTATAAACCACCATTAGCAGTAGAGAGAAGGAAAGGACAAGGAGTTACTACCACTATTAACTGATTTCTAGCATTTGGAATTAATTCTTAAAGAGAAGAGACATTGCTAACACTTTTCAGTTATCTTACCATATCTGGAGGAATGAAAAAGCACGATCCATGAGGTCTACCTGCGGCTTCAGACACAAACAAGCAGCAATTAGTTACTTGGCTAAATACTGTAACATGAGTCTGCTGTGCATGCAGGAGACAGGTGAGTGATGCTGGACAAGAGCCTTTATAGCCACACTAAAGATTTGATGAAATGCTCCATTATGATACTTTGCAGGCTGTGGAATAGGGAAGCTGGTTACCTGATCCTCTGCTATACCTGAACCTCATTGTGGCAGCTTTTAATAACTGAATATCCAGACCTCCCATAAAGGTGCCTTTGAGGAAGGACTGATGGGACAAGAAGCAGCATTCAGAGCCAGAAATGGGCAACAAGCAAACCATTTTCACTCCAGAGCAACTGGATGCATATCAGGTATAAAACAAACTAAATGGCTCTTTGGGCAGAACATTGAATAATGGTGAGGGCTTTTTTAAGACAACCTGTTTTTAAAATTACTGAGAGTACTACATTACAGCAAAGACTTTAAGAATATAATTTGATTCTTACATCAAAAAGAATAAATAAAATAATAAAGAAAATAGTCCTACTTATATACCAAAAAGAAAGAGCATTAATGCTTGGCCATCTCTATTGCAATATAACTTAATTTAAGTCACTGTACAGAAAAACTTGGGGCTGATGCATGCTAAAAACTGCCATTACTTGTTATATCTTTTCTTATTTCATAGGACTGCACATTCTTTACAAGGAAAGAAATTCTGAGGTGAGTCTGGTATATGCATTTTGTGGGTCAAGGACAGAGATTGTCATAAAAACAGGTTACATATAGGGTGAGGTATTTTAAAAAGATTTGCCTTTGCACAGTCTGAGCATTTTTGTTCCTTTTTTATATACAAACCCTATGTTATCTGTCCTAAACTGAGCCAGAATTCTAAATTTTCTATTAAGGTACCAGTCTTCCTTTATTTCTCAAAAATAAATGTAACAAGTTATACTTTAGTGCATACTTTGACAGTTCCTCTCACCTTGTTTCATGACAGATGCTTCAAAGTATACTGTTATTCTTTGGAATACTTTGCCTGGTTTATGAAAACCTTAACAATCATGCCAAATTTTCTTCACATTTTCTTAATGTCTCCTTTTAAGGATTATACTGATACTCTAAGGTGCATTTTTCCCAAAGCCTTCATGCGCCTCATCGAACACTCCATTTAATCTCTGGCCAAGGGATCACTATTGTGTTCATGGGGGCTGAGAGCCTTCACTGAATACTGCAACTTCTCTCATGAAAAATACTAACCCAGATAGTAACATATGTAATATTGAAGTTGCATTGCCTTTCCTTAGCATTGGGCATACTAACAGAAGGGGAAGTGTTCAGTTTCTGCATCTTTCAAGATGCCATCACAGATTTTTTTGTAATTTTTCTGAAGGGCAGGGCACAAATGACAGTTTTGTACAGAGTATGTTCCTCTTTTGAACCTTGATAGCTGCAAATGAATTCTATACAGGATAAAATATGAATGGTTCTGTAATAACTGAAATATAAATCTGCCTTCTTTCCACATGGTAAATAGAGGCCAGAGCCATAACTGTGTCATAAGACATTTATTATTGATAAGGAACCCTTTAAAAATTCTGTCCTATTGTTCTGTTGGTAACAGCTGTAAACAGGATCCTTACAGTAGCACAAGATCTGAAGCAAACAGCATGCTGAAAAAGTGAATGCATTCAAATTATTATGCAAATTTTCTGTCTCTTTAACCTGAATTCTATGGAAAAACAAGAAGATACTTGGGGTGGGCAGAGATGGTCTCGGATCTTTTTTTTCTGCCCATGGCTTTAAGCATTCAGGGCTCTATTCTGACATTTAAACGGAATCTTTCCTGCTGCAGTTGAAGCCCATTATTTCTGGTCGCATTCTTTGTGGACTTGGAAAACAGATCCCTTTTGCCTTGCCAAAAGTTTTTGTGTGTTTGGAAACTAAATGGACCTTCAGGTTGAAGGTCCTGTACTTTGTTATCATAAACATGTAAATCATAACTACATTACATGCCCAAGTACCATTGCTGGCAACTTAGAAATAAATCTGAAACTTTGTAAAACTCTCTATCTACTGGTTTGGCTGCCTGAGCTGTGCATGTATCTTCACCTGATTGTCCTGTAAGGGTGAATGAAGGCTTTGCATTTTTCACCAGTTACACTATGTTTTTATTTTTAATACTGTCTCTTTCAGGGACTATACAGAATATGCCAAATGTTATTTAGTGACTGATATCATCCATCAGGTAAAGGATGCAAAGTGTGAAGAATGCTATGAAAAAGCACACACATTGTTCTCAGTGGTCTACGTAACTTGTTCCCTAACCAAGCCTTTCTTTCTGTTTCAGGCTGTTTTACAGATACCGAGATCTAGCCCCACAGCTTGTTCCACTCGACTACACAGATAAACCAGACGTGACACTTCCCTATGAACTCATTGGCAGCATGCCAGAGCTGAAGGTACGAAGCAAGGGCCACAACTGGAATCGAGTGACCCGTTTCAGTTTATTCTACCCTTTCTTAATAATTCATTCAGTACTAATTGCTGGGAGGCTGAAATACAAATAAATTTTGGCTATTGAAGTCAAAAGTCTTTCTGGAAGCTTCTAGCGGTTCCCTGAATACGCCCTGAAATTGCACAAAAGGTTAAAGAAGGCTGCAACGGGGTCTACCTCTGACACATTAGACAAGAACATAATAGCAGAAAGGGGAGTATCTGTCAAAAATGGGTTATAACAAAAATAATCTTGCTCCAGTTGTCTTATCTGCACATAAATAAATGCTAGTAAAGTCCCTTGCTCTTGTGTTGTTTCCCAGGACAACCCATTCCGCCAGCGGATAGCAGAGGTTTTCTCGGAGGGTGGAGACGGCAACATGACTTTAGATGATTTTTTGGACATGTTTTCAGTGATGAGTGAAATGGCTCCCAGAGACTTGAAGGCTTATTATGCTTTTAAAATTTATGGTGAGTGAGACATGCATAAAAAGCAAACTTTGGGGAAATCCTGCAGCTTCATGTAGAGATGCAAAATATTCATTTTGCCATCATAATGATTTCTAGTTAGGAATGGTTTTAATACAGCCTTTCTTTTCATTGCATTTGAATGCCTATTCTCTCTCCTAAAAACTTCTGGTCTTCTTTATCCTTTTGTCTCCTTTTTCATTTATTTGGGATTAGAATTTACTACAAAATTTACAACCTGAAATTATCTGTGGTTTTCAAGGGCTGTTAAATATTTAAGAAATACTTCTGTCTGCTGGGCTGCTTGGAAAAGTGCAGCACAAGGGATTTGGCTGCCCATAAATCAGTAGGGTGGTTTGGTAGGGGGAGGTGAGTGGCAGGGAAGCACACTCCTAGCACTTTTCTGTAAGGACAAGTTTAAAGATTTATTTTTTTTTTACAGTACCATTCTCAGTTATTTTCTGATCAGCTAAAGCCAAACAATATATCAAGCAAATAAACAATTTTTAAAAAAATTTATACTGTATATAATTCAGCAAAAGTTTTAAAAAAGTGAATTCTCACCAAAACTGAACAGCCCCTTCTCCTCCTTTCACGTCATACTCTTTCTTGCATTCGGTTCAGCGGTACTGATTTGCTAGAATGATTTAATTACAGCTAGGCTATATTTAGCCATTAAACTATTTACAATTATCACCCTTATGTATGATAAGAAGAAATTATTCCAGGATTTTTCTTTTGTTATTGATTTTTTACACAAGCAAATAACTGCAAGACTTCATTTATGATTAGGAAGTTCTACTTATACAAATATATAATGGCCTGAGAACCAAACCCTTCCTATTAGGTCTTGGGAGTCAACCATGTAAAATGCTGACTTTTGTCACTTTGAATGCATTTTGTTTCGTTTGACAGATTTTAACAATGATGATTACATATGCAAATCAGATCTAGAGAAAACTGTTAACAAATTAACCCGAAATGAACTTACCCCAGAAGAAGTTAGCCTTGTATGTGACAAGGTGATTTATGAAGCTGATGTGGACAACGATGGCAAGCTGTCTTTGGAAGACTTTCAGCACATGATAATACGAGCTCCAGATTTCCTCAGGTAATATTTGCTTTTGATTTCTAACACAAATTTGCTCTTAGGTTTTTTGTCAGAAGCCTCTGAAGTGTGTGTTTTACATCTCCTCAGCCATTACAGATCACCACTCTTCCCTGACAGTTTCTAGGAGAGGTGCCCACTGCAGACTGGGAAAACAGATACTTGAAAAAGTGTGGAGGCTTCTCGACTTGCTTTTGAACCTCCAATGTAGTTTTTACATAACAAAAAGTCCCAGTAATTTAAAAAGTTAGTATTAGCACTTAGGCTCCCTTGATAAGTATACAAGATCAGCTCACTCAATGCATAACACAGCCTTGATGTGGTTTCTGATGCACGTTTTATTTATTTACTGTACCTATTCTTTGCAAGTGCTCTGCGAAATAAAGCTTCCAATTTATTGTACAGTCCTAAGATTAATTGTAGTGAATCCCTCTGAATACAGCGATACATATGTGATCACTACTTCCTTTTTTTAATAGCACATTTCACATTCGAATCTGAATCTAGTGAAACGTGTAGACAGAAGTGCTTCTGGAACCTTCAACAGCTACTACTCCAACTGAGATGACTGTCTGTGAAAGAGCAAAACGAGAGGAGCAAAGAGGGCAATTTCTGGTAACTGAACCAGTCAGAGAACCCTGTCTCTTGTTCACCTCTTTAAAATGAATGTTTCACTAAGCTCATCATCGAGATTTCCCTGTAATTTAACAGAATGTCTATTCCACCCCCCCCCCAGCTACAGCAAAACTGGCCTAGACAGTGAGATGGGAAATATTTTTAAAGTTCATACACCACCAGGTAGTAAAGGAACTTGTATCAAATTATAGCTTCTAAAATAATTCCTAAGAAAATGCCTTATCCAGTAAAACCCCCTTGAAAATAGTTTAGAAAAATCATGGTTAATCAAAATGTGTAACCAACTCATCTGATCAGCTTTAATAGCCCTAAAAAAGTCAGTGAATCAACCTGCTAAAGTATTCTCCCAGTGTGTCACAGAAGCCCATTATCGGTTTGAGAGGAATATAAAGAAGAGAAGAGCTCTCAATTTCAAAATTTGTAACAAAAAGTCAACATAATTTAAATGACCAAAGAGCCTACCCCAGGCTCCTGTCCCTCTCTTCCATTTTTAGAGAAACCTTGTTTTCCACACAAGA